CAAAGAAGATAGAAAGGAGAGGCAGGTGGTACTGTACTCCTTGTACTGTAATTCTCAATATTCTATTAAAAACGAGGAAAAACATCACAACCAAAAAACCTGCACTTGTATAATACCTGTGTAGGTAAGCTTTGTTCTTGCTTTCTTCAAAGATGACTGTTTCTATCGCAAGGTCATGGTCCCTTATAAAAGCTTGGTTGCCTAGTTCCTGTGATACTTTTTGTGTCAGTTCTGCATCCTGTTTGCCCCCTTTCTGACGGCAGATGACAGACACCATGTTTGGCACGGTTTTTGTGCAAGCACCATGCTGCTTGTCCTGTTCTGTTTGTTCAGAGCTGCTTTGGCTCCTGTTCATCTGCTCACCTGGCCTTGTAGCGCTGATGTGAGCCCTGGGCTCCTGGGTGGCTTTGGAGCTGGGAGATCTGTGCCCAGCTGCTGTTCAGTGGGGGATTTTGAGGAGCATTAAGAGAGATATTTATGGGCAGATGGCTGCAAAGAGCTTCAACAAGCAAGTGTGAATAGCTGGAGCATGTGCAGTGCTGACTTGAAGCTTCCTACAAGTTTTGAGGTCTTGGACAACCCAATCTGCTGTCACTTGCTGCTTTGGCAGGGCAGGATGCTAGAAGATGTCATTCAGTGATAACTGCAAAAATATCTGTTTCACATCAGTGGCAAGCAAGAGCTCTCAGTCTTCTGTTGTGTTTTGCTGCATAGGCAAAGCCATCTGCCACATGAAGTGTCCTGCTTCATTGAGTCATTTCCTTATGGAACAAATACCTTGAGTTCCCCAGAGTGCTGGGCATCCTTGCATGTCCATCTTCATTAGGATTTGAGTAGGTTCAGCCTCCACTTGAAAGCCTGCCCAGCAGCTGTTTTGCAGCAGAGTGTGCACAAAAGCACTTGATGTTAACCTGCATCCATGTGTGGGCTGTGTCAAACTAGCCTGGCCATCAGCCTTTTTGCTGTTCTTTGATTATTAAAGCTGTGTGGTATGTTTAAAGTGCGACATTCTGTAGAAGTGGACATTGTCAGCTTATCTAGTTGTTGTTTTATCACTGAAGGTGGCTATAGAGCTGAATCTAGGCTTCATGGCTGTTGCTCAAACTGTACTGCTATGTATCCTAATGGTCTTTCCTCGTTGTTATATTGCCTCTCTGCTTATGCTGCCTGTGTATGTTGCATCCCGCCCTGCCAAAACAGCAAGCGACAGCAGACTTTGGATTGTCCAAGACCTCAAACCTTGCAAATGCAAATAGCAGCTGAAAAACTGCTTTTAAAGTGTAACTTACTTCTGTGTAATTTGGGAGCTTTCACCAGGTTGTGCTTCTCCACACTCCCTCTTACAGACCCCTGTAATGCTTCTTTCATGTCCCTGGTTTGGGAAGGCTTGCACAACTTCAACCGTGAAGCAGCTTCTGTTACAACAAACAGAGCGGAGTCTCTGCATTGTAAAATCAGCTGGGTTGGAAAAGACCTTTAAGATCATCAGGCCCAACCTCTACCCCAGCACTGCCAGGTCCACCACCAAACCATGTCACTAAGGGTCCCCATGTTCCTCAGCCGTTCCTTGTCACATTTGTGCTCTGTGACCTTCACCAGCTTTGTCGCCCTTCTCTGGACCCACTCCAGCAACTCAGTGTCTGTCTTGAGCTTCCTTGTGATCTGTAGTTGCTCTCAATAGCAGTGATATGTTTTGGTCCTTGTTGAGTTCAGTGAATTTACTCTTAGACCAGACTTGCAGTAGCTACGTGTTGGCCTCCTCTCCCAGTACAGCCTCTTCCCTCCCACCTCCTCTCCTCCACTGCATGAAGGCTTTTAAATGCCAAAATAAGAGGTGCTTGACAAGTGAATACAGATACACTGGAATACCCTGTACATTGTATTTACAGCTAGGAGCAAAGGTTGTGTGTGATGAGCGTGGCGAGAGTAGATTAAGGGAACGACACTCATGAGATGTCTGGGTCCTGGTTTGGGACCTGCATGACTCGTATGGCAGTTCAGGTCCAAGCTAAGATCCTGCTGTTGGTTTTAGAGTTCAGCTTCCCTGTGACTGTATCTTGCTGCGTCTTCTCACTAGGTACCCGTATTCTTGTCCAGTCCTCCCTTTCTCATGTGTTTGAGCTGGCTCAGGTTAGCAATCATCTTCCCAGTAATGTGTTGCTCCAGGGACATGCTGAATGCTGCTTGGGTATGGTACTTTAAGTACTACTTGAACTGACTCTGCACGATGTAATGGTCTCTTGTCCTCTGCTCCCTATTCTCATATACTGGACCAAAGCTCACACTGAGGAAATGTTGGTAACAGAAGTAATGGTGTCTTCTGAGCAGCAGAGCAGGCAGAGGCCCTGAAGGGAGGACACAGGTGGTGAGGAAAGAGCTTGCTCTGGACTCCCTAGCTCTGTTGTATTATACAAAGCAGCTGGTGAAACAGGATGGTGTCTGCTACACCACTAGTGTGCACACCTGAGTGATGAACCAGTGGGATCCTACCTCTGCCTGTGGCCACTTAACTCCTAGAAGGATGCTGAAGAGGTGGAAAATGAGTATTGTCCCTGGTTTCGCTAAAGCAACTTATTTTTCAGGGGTTTTCATGGGAATCCTGTCATGCTCTGGTGGTTGTTTAAAGCACAGTATTTAAGCTGAATGGATTGCTTAAACATGCAGAAGGATGGGAATGTGGGTTAGGTTTAGTCTGTAGTGCAGGCTCTAGGCTGGGGCTGTTGGTTTGGATGAGACCTCAGACATCTTCAGCTTGGGGACCATAGACTTGTAAGTGGACTAAGACAACTTTTTAGACCCCATCAAAGATGGTTGGTGCAGTTGGCAGTGGAGCTCAGATCCTCATCCTTGCTCTTCTCTCTGTCCTCTCCCCTATTGTAACAACTTTGTGAGTACAGATCTTTAAAGCAGATGTGTTTGCTCTGTGTCTTGTAAACAGCAGGAACAGCTGAAGACAAGCATGCTTTTAAGGTGGGGGAAGTACTCTGCATTTTGTGGGCAATTCGAGGATTTCTGGAAAAGTGAGTTACAAACAGCGTGTGAAGAAGAGCAGCGTTAGAGGGGCTTGGTTGTAACTTAGCCTGGGTACCTGCTGCCCATTGAGTACCGCAGAGAGCACCGAGATGCCCACCTTGTGGGCAGGTGTGTGGACACAATGAGATGCAGCACTCAAAACATAGACATCAAAGCCTTTTGCTGTGTCTGAGTCAGAGTCCTTGAGACAGCAAGTCTTGCCCTGTTTTAAAATATCCCTTTGCTAAGTCACTGTGAAAGAGCCTGGAAAAGACAAATAACCCTTTCTTTCTTTATTTACTTTAAAATAACATTGGGATGGTGACATTCACATTTATTTTGGCTAGTGTAGCTCTTTCGAGTAACTTCAGCATAGCTCTCCCCCCTCCTGGGTTGTGTTTTTTTGGCTTGCATTTAACAAAGTGCAGTTCACTCTGAACACTTGGCCCGTCCCGATGTGGTGCAGGACTCCAAGTATCCTGGTACAGCAGAAACGTGCACTTTTGTGGGCGAGGAGGGAGGGAGGGCGGGCTGGATATATCACTGCATTTCTCCTCTTTCCGCCTTTTTTTGCTGGAGGAGCCACCTGTTAGCATTACATCAGCGGCTCCCAGGAACTCTCCTCCTACCAAAAGGCCTTAACACAGAGTAGTTCTTCTTGTATTGTTTGTGTTCAAAGAGCTGATGTCATGCCAGCTGATGTCATTGTGTGCTCTGCGGGATCGCTATGGGAACCGGGCAGGTGGGGAGCCTGATGTAATCGCAGAATGAGGTGTAGAAAGAAGGTCTGGTCCTGGTGTTTCAGCTCTGCCGAGCTGGCAAAAGGAAGGCGAGTGAAATACTGCTTAAAAAAGACAGCAAGATGTGCAGTAGAGCCAGGGAAGCACGAGCCAAAAGAGTAGAGCGACTTCTCCCTTCCTGCTCAGATCCATTTCCCAATCCATATTAATGTCCTAAAAATAACTCTTGCTAGATATTTTCGGGCAACCAGAGCAGAAAAAGGAGAGCTGTTTACCACATGTGAAGTGAGCACCTCAGGTGCTTTTGGGTTAGGAGAAGAGGTTTTCTTTTGTTCTCCTGCACAAATGCTTATGTGCTGTTCCCTGGAGCAATGTCAGTGTGAGCTGTGCCCACCTATCATGGAATCACAGAATGGGTTTGGGTTGTAAAGGACTTTAAGATCATCTAGTTCCAACCCCCTTTGGGAATGCCCCGCAGGGCTGCTCCTGGTGGGCAGGTCTGATATGGACAGGGAAAGCTAAAAGCCTGACCCAGCTGGCTCATTGTGCTGCTTTGGTGTGATGCTAGCCCGTTTGCCTGTGGTTTTGATTATTTCCTTCTTGGAAAATGCCTTTTGTTCTGTCCCCTTGCTGATTGTAGAGTCATAGAATGGTTTGGGTTGGAAAGGACCTTAAGATCATCCAGTTCCAACCCTCTGCCATGGGCAGGAACACCTCACACTAGACCGTACTAGACCCAAGGCTCTGTCCAACCTGGCCTTGAACACTGCCAGGGATGGAGTGTTCACCACTTCCTTGGACAACCTGTGCCAGTGCCTCACCACCCTCACAGTAAAGAACTTCTTCCTTAGATCTAACCTGAACTTCCCCTGTTTCAGTTTAAACCCATCACCCCTTGTCCTATTGCTATAGTCCCTGATGAAGAGTCCTTAACGTAAATCTCAGTCTCCGTCTAACCTATATCTCCCCTCTGTCAGCTTAAAACCATTCCCCCAGGTCCTGTGTGATGTTGCACAAAGATGAGTTTGCCTCTTCCTTGGCATCATCGGCCCCATGGCGGCGAGAACAATGTGTGCCATTGATTCATGGCACCCTTCTTGCTGGCAGCCATGCTCTGAGCAGTCACCATGACAGTGGTGATAGGGACAGTAGCGCCAGCTCCAGTCCCTGACTCTGAAGAAAGGTGTCTCCAAAGTGCTGCTGACCTCGGGTGTGTAACCAACATATCTGCTTGGTCTATCTCCCCAGGAGGACTCAGCGGTTTCAGGCAGAACCACGAAAACCTCTGCGACAACTCCCTCCAGCTCCAAGAGTGCCCAGAGGGGGGAGGCGGGGTCGGTGCGTCCGCCGTGCCCCCCACGCTACCTCAGTCCATCCCCACCACGCCGGACATCGAGAATGCTGAGCTCACCCCCATCCTGCCCTTCCTCTTCCTCGGAAACGAGCACGATGCTCAGGACTTGGAGAAGATGCAGAGGATGAACATCGGCTACGTAATCAATGTGACCACCCACCTGCCCCTGTACCACTACGAGAAAGGCATGTTCAACTACAAGCGGCTCCCAGCCACTGACAGCAACAAGCAGAATCTCAGGCAGTATTTTGAAGAGGCTTTCGAGTTCATTGGTAATTACCCTTCACTGGAAATACTCTTGGTGATTTCTTTTTTTACCTGTTGTAAGGATCTAGAGTGAATTTCGTGCTTTGCTGACTACCCTGAAGGCTCTCTGAGGTCAGGTTTGCTTTTGTTTAGGTTGTCAGAAATGCTGAGCAGCACCTTGTATTTCTCTTTCTTCTCATCTCTGGCATATCCAGTTAAGTAGTCTGGGGGTATATCATCAGTAGTGATGCCTGCCTCCAGGCTGCCAAACTCAGGAAACACCAGAAAACTGACACATTTGTCATCCCCTTTTCTTGATTCCGTTGCATTCCTAGTTCCAACAGTGGCTTCCAGCCAATTTTTCATAGTAACTGTTCTTAATGATGGCTGAGTCTTTCCTAACTTAATCACATGAAAAAACTGACAAACTTTCACACTTCACTTGTTCTACCATTAGATTTATGACTTCAGAGTGTGTGAGTAGATTGTGATGAAAACTTATATTAATAAACCCCTAAACTCTTTAGGCTGTGTAAGAGAGTTCCCCACAGAACTCATGAGTCCACAGCAAACTGGGGAGGTTGCTGAAGAAATGACCCAGCAGCGTTACCCGTGTTACTCTGAACCTCACTGCAATCCACACAGCACAACCCTCTCCAGCTTTAGGGGTTCATTCATCTCTGGTTGGTCATCTAGGCTAAAGCCAGGTGGTCTCTTTAGGCAAGGCTGGTCAGTGAGGACATCAGCTCGTGATACTGAAAGCTTTTGGGGACCTTCGCTTGTGCCTCTCTATGTCTTTGTAGGCACAGCTTTTGCAGTATAATCAATGTCCACTTGTGTCCTGAGAGGTTTTCTGAAATACGAGCTGAATACATAATTTTATTTCCTTGTGCTGAGGCTTTGCTAACCTCTTTACCAATACTTCAGGCTTGATGTTGGAGGACTAAACTAAGGAAGTGTGCCTCTGTGCTGTATCACAGCTTAGGTCCTTACCTAACCCCATGCTGAAGTGAGTGCAGAGCTGTTTTCCGCCTTGCCCTGTGTTTATGGCACTTGGGTCAGCATGTGGGTACAGTGCTCCTGAAACTCAAGCCTGTTTGTGCTGTCAGGCTCAGCAAGGATTGTGCCCCAGCTGTGGGACTAGGTCCTAGGGCAGGATGTCCAAACTCAGCATATTCTTCTGAGCCCATCTGACCCTGCCATACGACTTGGCATGGGCTCTTTGGTCTCGAGCAGACAGCTTGCCGCATTTCTGTCTGAGTTTGGGTTGGCAGGGGCTCACTGTGTGCCGTTGCACACAGTCTGTAGCCATGCTACTTCAGTGAAGGTGACAAGGTAAATCACTGCAGCTCAGATGAAGTGCAGCACTAAAGCTTGAGTCTTACCACTGAGAGCTTCTATCAGGAGCCCTTGGGCTTGCCCTCTACAGTGTAGAGGACCAAAGGATCTCTACATAAAACCAAATCTTCCTAGTATTATTAACACAATCCTGGCTCTACCAGTAGTTCTGTCAGCTCCCCAAACTGCTGATTGCTATGAGCGTGGGAAGGTGAATGGATGAAGAGAAGCCTTCTCTGAGGGCAGGGGAGAGGGAACCTCACTTTGATCCTTTGAGAAAAAAACTGGGTAAAGAAATCCAGTAAAACCTTAAACTTTGAATTCAACAAGATGGGGAGATGCAGTAGGCTAAGCTTACATAGAGGAACTCTGAAGCTCTGTGGAGGTTCTTTTGGGGTCCTATGAACTGCTGGGTTAGAGCTCTTGAAACCACTAGAAGATAGAGTTTGGCTAATGACCTTACCAAGGGCAGAGAAAGCAGCCTTGCTCTGTAAAGGTTTGGCAAGTGTTCCAAACCCCATTTTACTTTCTATTTTAATAATTACAGCTTGAGGGTCTGTCTGTGTTTTTAATAAACAAATATTCCTCCATTGAGAGTTTTCTTCCATAGCAGATTGAGCCAGCTGGGGAAGTAACTAGTCAAAGCTTTCCCTTCCTCAGGGTAAGCTTTAAATTGCATTTGAGAAGATTTGGAAATGTTTAAACTGCACATCCTTGGCCTGTGTTTCTTTAAATATGTCTTGAAACAACCACAACCAAACCCAGGTTTAGCTCAAACTAAAGCCATAGGAAGTGAAATCATCAAAACCTCTTCGGGAAAGTGTGTCGAAATGCATTAGAGAGTTTCAGCTTTCTGAAATAGTAACTGGCAAAACTCTCTAGAGGGAAGTTGGCTTCATTTATGCTTTCACAATACAGGTTGAGCATGTGGGGTTCAGGATGAAACATAATGTTGGTGGGGTTGGGTTCATGCCAGAACTTGGAAACTAAATTCATGCTTCTCCTGCAGATTGAAACAAAACAAATAGATTGAAGTGTCACATCCTTTGGGAGATACCAAAAGCAAGCTGTGGAAGATGAGGATGGTGTGGTAGTAACTCTCCTCCTTCTTGTGTCCTATTAGCACATGGTTCCAGGGGCTCTGTTCTCCCTTATCCTGCCCAGGTTGCATCCCTCTAAGTGATATATCATGGTGAATAGCACGACTGTGTGTAGTCAGCTCCTGCTTTTGCAGAAACACCACAGTAGAGTGCCCCACTGAGGCTGCTTCAAGAGTAGCTTTGCAAAAGACTCAAAGAACAACAGGGCTTTGAAACAGGTATCGTTAGGAATTGAATCTGAAAATCCCTGTTTTCTTAAAAGGTAGTGTCCAAGTAACGCAGTGGCATTGTGACAGAGGTGGAGATTAAGCCTGAGCTGATTCATCATAGGCTTTGACCTATGTCAAGCTGCTCATGCTCCCTGTCAGCTCAGCAGTGTCTCTCAATGTGCAGTTTGCCTAATGAAGAGATAAAAGGGAATGTGAGGACTTCCAGTGTTTGATGTGCAATAACTCTGAAGCCTCAAAGGAAGATGGACTGGAGGGGAAGGGGACAGTGCTGTGCTTGTAATCAAATAAATACAGGGACTTTTCACATTAAGTTACTCTAATTGCACTGAGCTTTTTCCTCACTTAGGAGCTGGCAGAAATCTTACTTTCTCCTGTCTTTCTCATTTCCAGAGGAAGCTCATCAGTGTGGAAAAGGTCTCCTCATCCACTGCCAGGCCGGTGTCTCCCGCTCTGCCACCATTGTTATCGCGTACTTAATGAAGCACACACGCATGACCATGACGGATGCCTATAAATTTGTGAAAGGCAAACGACCAATCATTTCCCCAAACCTTAACTTTATGGGGCAGTTACTGGAGTTTGAAGAAGACCTAAACAACGGTGTCACACCACGCATCCTCACACCAAAGCTGATCGGTGTAGAGACCGTGGTGTGACAGCGAGGGTGCAGTCAAGGAAGGGGCTTAACCTATTCTTCACCTGATTCGGGGCAGTGATGGGTGGGAAGTGGGTTTTTCTTTTTAGCTTTCAAAGGGGGGTTTTGTGGCAAACTTTTTGTGAATAAAAACCTTTTTTTTTTTTTGTAAGGAAAGGTTTTTAAAGATCCAAGAACTTTGCCATGTTTGGGATGCTGTTGTGATTTCCTTCCCAGATGCTGGCAGAGCAGGGAGGTTTTGGAGCAAAAAGTAGTACTTTTTAAAATCAAAACAAGATGAAGAAGAAATACTGGGCTTCCCTCCCCCCCCCCCCCTTTTTATTTTTCCCTCCTCTCCAGCTACTTGTAGAGTTTATGGCTAAGTAGTCTGTGCAGGTTCATAGACTGAAGAAACCTAAGTTGAAGACGAAACACAAACAGCCAAAACAAAGCAGAAATAAAACCCCTCCCTGAAACAGAAGAGCCTTCATTCTGCAAAGGCTTTACTAAAGATAACCTAGCAAAATGCTCACCGATGCAAAGGAAATTGGAGCAGCTTCAAAAGTCTGCAAGGCACTTTTCACACTCCTGACTCAACCTAAAGACAAAATAAAGAGAAGTTTATTTGGCGTGTTTCATGTTCCAGTTCTATTTTTCTATTGTGGGGTGTAAGGTTTTAACAATAAGGGGACTTTGATCATTCTATGCCATATGCCTTCACTGGCTTCTTGTGCAATAATAATTTGGGGTTTGTTTTGAGTGTTCAAACCACATACTGTTGGCTGCCTACTAATAATTTTTGAAGTCTACTAGTGCAATGGCAGCGGCTTGGTTCGGAAAGGATAAATGAGAGCAATTATTTCGTTCCTTTATATGATTTTGATCCTGGTTACAGTGCCATAAACCTTGTTACATATGTATATCAGAATGTACAAAGAATGAGCAAAGTTTATTTAAAACTATTTTTCGCACAAAATATTGGTGTGTTTCAGTTGTCTATGTAAAAAAAAATCCAAAATTTGATTATAAAACAAAAAATCTTTTGGAAAATGTGTGTCTTTTTATTTCTTTAGCAGTTTTCCATTTTCTTTCCATGGGACGGACTTTTGTTCTGTTGTGTTTCTTGTTGCAGTGTACATCTCCCTTTGACAGAACTGGCATCTCTTGTTTGGCATCTCCTCTTCCTATTTTGTTCCTGTCCTCTGCTGGTGCTGGTGGAATGTGTTCTCTTTATTTCCTCCTGTACTCCTGCATCCTTAATTTTCTGTAACTGGATTTTTCTCTCCTGAAGTGCATCAGTTTTGGAGCTGTTCAGCCGAATTGGCACTATTGGTGAGGGACTTTGGGACAGATGTGTTATTTCTGCAGCTTAGTAGCCATTTGGAAAAATAAGAAATAAACTTTCTCCACCGATTCCTGTTCATATTCCTGCAATTAGCTTATCTTCTGTTACAACACTGTCTGGTTTCTAGAAGTCTGTTGGTCTCGTGTGTGCTTTTCCCTGGCCTCTCTATAGCCCCCTCCTCTAGCAGTTCCGTGATTCCTTCTCCTGGGATTTTCCCCTTTCTCTTGCCCATCTTTCCTTCATCCCCCTCCTTTTCCAGCTGTGTCAGTGTCGTGTGGTGCATATTGTAGGGCTGGTGTTTCTGCCTGACGGTGTCCCTGAGGCACCTGACTTTTGCTTTCCTTGTATTTTCTTTATTTTCACGGTATGGTATAACCTGGTCTCTTCTGGACTGTTACCAACTCTGAAGTTTATTTGTGTGAGCCTAAAGTCACTTAGAGAACATTTCTCGTATCACTCTGTTTGTGCAAACTGATATATCCCAGGAAATCGGGTAGCAGTGAAGGTTTTTCCTAGATGGAAACTTAAATGGGCGAACCAAGTTTAAAACAGGACTTGCTGGAAAACTTATGTATGATCACACTAGACATGTATATTTTTGTGGACATTTTACTTAAAATGTTGTTACTATACAGATATTTTCTTGAAACTTATCCCTTTATTAAATTATTTTTCTACTGGAATTGATTTTTTTAATTGCTTTTGAATACAATCAGTGTTGGTCCTTCTGTTGAGATGCACTTGGCAACATGGTGCCCAGTGGCAAAACCTCTTGGGCTATGACAGCTCCTGGGGCTGAGTGGTTGGACAGGGAAGTTGCTGTTTGGGAGCCTTGGTGCTCCAGGAGGAAGGATGGTCTCCTCTTTCCCCCTTTACTTTCATTAGGACCTCATTGTTTGAGGAGGTTAGAAAACCTCTTTGTTTCTTGACAGAGAAGTAAAAGTAGTTACAGCAGGGCTGAGGGATGGATGAAAAGTTGGTCTTTGCAGCCTGTGCTCATGGCCATAAGCTCTACCAGGAAAACGGGTTATTCCTAAGCACAAAGGAGGACTTGGTTCAAAATCAGTTTTTCCTATTATTACTGTTTTCTTGTCCCTGTGCTAAATGGCCTGATGTGAACATCTCCAGCAGGAGTAAGGAGCTACCACACCAATGTGACTCAGAGCGTCCTCTGGTTCAGCCTCAGCCACCACACGCTGCCTTGGATCAGGATCAAGTTCGCAGCTATGTAAGTTCTTGTGTTTGATTCTCATTTAAGCCAAAGCCCTCACAGCCTTAAGTTACCAGTAAGGGAGGATCTGGTGCACTTGCCTTGGTAGGGCTGAGCAGCGCTGGTGCTGCATGCATAGATAGGGAGTTTGGAAGCCTTGCTGCAAAAAACCTGTCAGCTTTTGTGCTTGTCATGGTGAGAAGTAGTGCCTGGTTTTGTTCTCCAGTGTCATGAACTTGGAGATGATGGAGCAGGGCAATGTGAGGGTGTGAGTGCGTGGAGTTTGCTGTGGGGTCTGGCAGTAGCAGAGGTGGGCTGGATGAAGCCCTCCTTTGTGCTGACCTGTTCCCTTGGAGGGACTGGAGCTGGGCTGGAGAAGAGGAGCTCATGAGGGTTATGTCCCACTGAAGGCAATGCTTTTACTGAGGCAGAATTTACTGAAGTTAGTGATTGATCGCTTAACATCTTTATGCCTGAGGGCAGGAGAAATTCAGTTGGGGTTTGTATGAGACCTTGGAGCCCTGTTTGTGTACACCTGTGTTGGGAATGCCTCCTTGTTGGGTACCTGATAACAGTGTGCTGCAAGTATGTGGCTGTGTATCAGAAGAAAGCCCCTGTCTGAGCATCATGCTCCTCGTCAGGGAGAAAGAAAAACAGATTTGTCCTCATTTCTAGGAGGAAGCAAGGCTGAAAGGGTGAGTACCACAGTTGTGAAGGGGCTTAAGCAGATATCGGTGTTGCTACACCACAGACACCTTCAGAAAGGTTATTTCTGACTTCAAGGTCAGAATTGAGGCTTGGTCACTGATCCCTTGCACTTATTGCTGGCTGCAGTGCACTGCCAGCCTCTCCAAGATGAGGCACTGTTAAATCAAAGCCCACACTGGGGAGATCTTTCCATAGCCCTTGATGTGCGCACATGGGTGTCAGCATGGACAGGACCTGCTTTTCCCCGCTCAGTGTCGGCACTGTGTGTGAGGTGTGCTGCAGTAGGTACAGTCCTGGAGAATGGGTTACCTCCTAACTTGTTTTCCACTCGTTCCCTTTGGGAGCTTGGGGCAGACCCTGAGTGCTTGTTTCTGAGAGCATTTCCATCAAGACCTGGGTCTTGTGAGCAGGTCCCCGAGATACAGCTTGCAAAGTGTATCAGGGTGTTTGGAGCAGGTATTGCTTCTGGCTGGGAACTTCCTTCTCTTTACAAACTGGGTCCTCAACCAAATGGTGAACTGTCAGTGTGTGAGAGTGTTAATGCTCGCTGTAAATCTCTGTTAAAGCTAAAACTGGTCAATTCATTGATCTTGCAGGCTAGCTCAATTTTAAGATTAGACTTTCAGATCGAGAGACTGTTTAACTTTCTGTGCTCAGTATCACATCAGCTTTATCCTTCTGGGTCACGCCAGGGATTGAGCCAAATCCCCCTTTTTGTCAAGTCAGTTGGTTTTCTGAGGTTTCCTATGACTTTGCCTTTCACAAATGTGCTAACATCCTTCAGGGAAGCACGAATCAAAGGTCCCCTCTCTACCCGCTTGACAGATACAGGCCAGGAGTGTTTCAAGATGAAGCAATCGTGTAGGAAGTGTGTTGTTACCTTATGGTCACAGGATCCGCCACTGACTTGTTGTGGGGAGATGTGTTCAGAAGCACACACAGGAGCCAGTGAGACGGAGATAGGAGCCACAGGGGGTGTGGGAAAATGCTGAGCACACTTGTGGGAGCGTTTTGGCCTCAGGTCCCCCTCAGCCCATGGTGGATCTGGCTCCCAGCAGCAGGGAGGCGTCTGGGAACTGGAGATGCTGATTCAGGAGGGAGGACAAAAATAAAGCATGCTGTCTCTGGGCTGAATTAAGGAGGTAATCAAAGATAACAAGTGGCTGATGGCTGTCTCATTAGCAGGTATCTGCTTTCCTGTGGCGTGTTTGCCTGCTGCCTCTGTAGGTATCGAAGGGGAGGTTGGCGGTGCGGAGGTTTTGAGTGGTTTCAGCACAGCCTGACATCAATAGCTGTTAAATAGAGCTGTGGTTTTCCCCCTGAGCGTGCAGCAAAGGGAGGTGTTCCCAGGAGTGGTCCTGGGTACTGCCAGCCCCCGGCATCCTCCCACTGCTGGGTGCAATGTTAATCTCTGCTCAATCAGGTGCTGCTTTTGTTGAGGTGTTTCTTCTGCTATTTCCAGTCTACTGGACTCTTGTCCCAGTGGAGCAGCAGATGGAGGAGCAGGCTCCTTTCCTGTTCTGCTTTAGCTGTCTTCTGCATCTTTCCCAACCCTGCAGTTCCTTAGACTAGAGAAAAGCAATTTAAATCCAGTCATTTTCAAGCTGTACTCCAGCGGGATGAATGTTTTCAGTGCCTGATGGGCTCCTGGTTAGATTCAGGTATTATCCAGGCAGCATCTCTCCTAGGTAGGCCAGACCCAATACCTTCTCCTGCAGCAGTTCCTGCTTGAAGGGTTGCAACCACCTTGTTCTAGAAACAAGGGATACTGCTGGGATGACAAATTGGGTATTTCATTCACCTGTGGGTAGCACTCGGGTGTGTGGTTGGTGCTGCCCAGGGTGGGAGTCTGGTGCACCAGGACTTCCGCAGTGTGCAGAGAGAAATGCTGCTGCTGGTTCAGAGACTGATCTGTTCTTAGTGTCTTTATGGAGCCAGTATCCTGGAGTATGCAGAGATGTGGTCCCTTGCCTCAGAAGCTGTCTGAGCTCATGTTGAGTTTGGCTGGATCCAGTCTGGCTTAAATCTTCCACCGTCAGATGCCTATTTGTTCAGCTCTGGTTCGAGTTCATCAGTAGTGAGCCTGCCGCAGGTCTGGGTTCATCTAAGTGACAAGGAAAAATGACCTGAAATCTTATTCCAGGGGATAAGGACGGCTGTATATGGGAGGAGAGAGTTCAGTGCAAGTGCATAAACACTTAAAAAACCCTAACCTGAATCAGGGAGTAAAGTTAAAACATGTAACAAACCAGTTCTGATAGATAAAAGCACTAAACCAGAGGTTAAGTGTAATCTGACTTGTATGCCTTGTCTTCACACTTCTGTACCTTAGCTCCTTTGATTGTCTATATATAAGAGGTGACACTGGAGAGCCTGGATTTATCATGAAGATTTATTTGTCATGGAGAGATGAAGGAGCTGTCTGGCACTTGGGCTTTTCGTATCAAGTTGCACTTCTGGCAGACGGCAGTGGAGCGTTTAAAGAAGATCACATTGTAGAGCAGAGTAGTAAGTTGCTATAAGGATGGACAGAAGTGTGTGGGCTCTGAGTAGAGAGACGCTGGATTTGTAAGGCATTTCTGGTCCTGATTGTGCACAGATACAAAACATGTAGCCAGAGGCATAAGCAGCAGCTTCTGTGAGAGCATGTTTGTCATTTGTTAAATCCATTGGGGTGATGGAAGAGGATGCTGGTGTGAAAAACATGAGAGATCTGCAGCTGGGTGAGGAGCTTGCCAGCAGCTGTTTGGGTTTTCAGAGGTCTGAACAAGGTCTGACAAAGCTTTGCCCTGCTTGCATCCATCTGAAAGCTCTTCTCAAGGCATCCATGTCCAATGCAGTGCTGTGCATCTGTCTCACATTGCTTTGCTCTGTCTTGTAATACTTCGGCTCCTGAGACCAAACTCTCACAGCTACCAATAGCAGTTTGTAGGGATCTGTTTCCAGGGGGATGCAAAAAGCTGATGGGAGAATATGGACAGTTTGTGCTCTTTCTCCATACCTTCCTTGGTTTTCAGCTCTGATCCTGGAGTGGTGAGGGGTGCACTGAACAGCAGGTCATGGTGTGGAGTCCAGCTGTGTTCCAGCTGTTTTATTGCATATTGAGTATCTGGTACACAATCACAGATATGGAACCTATGTCAGGGAATCTAGGCAGATAAAATGTTTATGGCTCTATAGGATCTGTATGAAACATAGTATGTTGGCTATAAGACAGGATTGGGCTTCTTTGGGAGTTCTCTCTGCCCCTGTGTACCACCCATACTTGTAAATGACACTGTGGAAGCAGGAGGCAAGACCTCATCCTTTACATGGGTGTTGTCCATCCCATTTTGTAGCTGGGGCAGATGACAGGGATGGCCATGCTTGCACACTGGAGTGAGGAACAGAGCCCAGGAGCTAGAACTTCTCTTGCTTTACCAATATCACAGAGCCATTTCTTAAAGCTTCAGCTAGTTGCTGATAAACGTGATGATTTGCTTCAGGTACTGAGGCTCTTCTCCTTGTAGCTGGAGCAAATCAGATCCTTATTGTGTCTAGGTGCCCTATATAAACTGAAAACACTGAAGTCTTATTAAGTGCCATTCACTAAACCCCTTTCTACTGCTGTATGAGCGTTAGCAAATGGTCCTCTGTACTGTGGTTCTGAATGAAGAGCAGTGCATACATACAGCAGTTTACTGTCCTATCTTTAACAAAGCCATGATTACATGGAGATACAGGAGGGGCTGATAAACTGTTTTGAGATCTCTGCCATTGAGAGAA